ATACCAAGGGAACATGAATCAAATATGCACTTTTATTCATTTACAATAAACTCATAAAGTACATCATTCTGATTGAAGCTAAGGGCATACAAAATAGTCTAACATAACTTTCCAATTTTGCCCATCAGTCTCTAAATATGCACACAGTACGTGTGCTTCAAGTCTAACCCTAGCAGCCGAGATAGGTTGATCCAAATTCTTTGGCAACACATTAGTGTCAGCCTTGGCAAGATAAACTCCGCAAGTTTATCCAACGGCTGAAAACATTCTAAACTAACACAAGTCTCATAATTATTCAGTTTAAGGGGTAATTACATAGAAACACACCAATGATAACATGAAACAATTATGTACTTTTATTCATTTACAATAAATGTATATATACATTAATCTGATTGGATTTAAAGACATACACTATCTAATAGTTGCAAGGGTGTGATGCTCAATTGGGGGACCAGCTCTCACGCACTCGATATTTTTTTCTCACTCTCATCCTAGAGTTTTTGTTTTTCATTGGGTCCCACCTATTTGGTGAGACCTCATGTCCCATAGTTTGAGAATTGACTTTTTCATTGCATCTCACTCGTTCACCAAAAACAAATGTTGGAAAATAGGAATCTTGGACAAATATTCCTATTTTCTCGTTGTACAAACCAAACAAACTATTAAAATCCAGCCTAGATTGAACTATAAATATTTTTTGCTTTGTACAAGTATAAAATGGATTTGAAAAAATAATATTTTTATTTTGGAAAAATCCATGGTATTGGAAAGACACGACACTGAAAGGATTTGACGAAACCTCCTATGAATTTTGATGACAACCTACTTGATCTTGATTGGTTACCACTTTTATGATGTTGGTTGATTGGTTATAAATTTTTCTAGTATCATGTTTTTCTGACAACATAGTCCGACCCTATAAAATTTGCTATTTTTTTTGGAAAAAAATTGTTCATACTTGCATTACTACATTTAACAAAACAAATAATGTAATTTACATGCATTTTAATCGGGACTAACCGAAATTGGGTTCAGCCACATCCAAATCCAATCCAAAATTCATGTCTTGGATCGGGTTTAGATTTAATCCAAGTCTTTCATTATTGTTATAATAAAATAGAATTAAAAAATAAGAACAATTCATAATTAAGCCCCCACAATGACCCTAGTGGGCCTAGTCTGATAAACTTTAAGGTGATGTTTGGGACTGACACTGATTTTTTAGAAATCGGTGCACATTAGAAATTCAAAAATCATTGCTTATTTTTTCTTTTGGTTGAAATCGGCAGAAATTAATTATTAAAATCTGGCTGATGTGGATTTGTCTTTTCAGGCCAATTCTATTTTTTTTTTTTATGATGTGGCATCTGAAATGGAAAGTGAGATAATTCCCATAAGGCTCAGTTTGGAAGGAGTACAAATGCATATATTTGTATGCATTTACACTGTATATATTTGCATTTGTACTCCCTCCAAACTAAGCCTAAAAGAAAAATTACTACTAAATAAATTCATAAGCTGAATTTTGAGAAATTCGCTGAAATGAAAGTAATGGTACCAAATAAACAATTTGTCTGTGAAATCAATGATATGATAAATCTCATAAGAGAAATTATCATTGATCCCAAAAACCTCCCGGGTTAATCAGGACCCACTTCAGCTTGGGGGTTCCGGCTAAGCTGGTCCAAGTTTTGTATTGGTTAGGATTCAGAATTCACTATAGCCGACGGTATGTCATAAGGATTATTAGTACAGAAGAGAAAAGCTTGKCTGTGTGGAAAAAATACAAACTACGGCTTTTTCCGTCTCTCTCCATGAAGTTTCATCAACGAAGGACTTCCCAGTTCCCACTAATTATTTATTTATTTATTTTTCAACGCCCCAGTTCCCACTAATTGAATCCAAACATGGCAGCATTTTTATAGTTGTTGAATGCCATTAAACAATGTATGCATGCTTGGCTGCTTGGCTGCTTGGAAAAATTAAGAGATGGCCAGATGGTTGGAGGGAAGTAAAAACATTCAGAGTTGAAGTATGGCCAACCTTTGAAAATAATCCAATGGGAGAACATTTTATTTATTCCATCCGGTAAAACGCATCAGAATTTGGTAAAAGACTCTTCGCAGAGACGTCCCGTGATGACCATCAAATTAACTGCTGAGAGATCCTAATCCCAACCACGTCGGCTTCTAGCCCTCCAGCTCTCATTGCTTCGTATTTTATCAAAAGCCCTGAACCAAGCCATAACCAACTTGTTTGTTTACACCACTCAGCTCAATATCAACAATGATCTATCTACTTCATAATGTGTTTTGGAACTGTTATTCTTTATGGCTTTTCAATGAGAATACCTTCGTTTTGCTGTAAATTGGTGTTTACAGCAACAGCGTGGTGAGCTATACGAGCTTTAGGCTGCCAGTCATTGGGTTTCCCCATCCATGCCTTCGCATCCCAAACCTCTGCAATGCATCACAGATGAACATACAGAACGTAATGCATATAGACCACTCAATCTGAATCTTGCATACAGGTCTACTTCACAGAGGACATGGAGTGATGTATATAGTAAGTACCATAGGTGCTAGCATCGTTGAGGTGCTTAATGTCGAAAATGGCCCCAGTGGCCATGTCTGTGTGCTTCTTGATTTCGTGAGTCTCCACGCTCTCGTACTCCCAGCTCCCATTTTTGTATCCCTCGCTCAAGAATAGCTCTATGTGCCTTGCATCTAATGTCTGCATTGTGCCTGCAAAATACTCATCTTCAATGAATTCTCGTATCTTCTACTACTTTGGCCAAGTATCCTGGTGGCCCTCGCCATTCACAAGCCAATTTATTGTAACTTTATTTTTTGGGAAGCCAGGGGCTCTTCCCCGTAAATTCATGGATTGTCTCACCTTCGCAAGTGCTAAGGTTGCAGACAGGGCATCTAACGAGCTGCAAATCTGAAAAAATATAACAAAAACATTTAAATGATTGTGTTACATGTTCATTAATACGCAATTATAACATTGCCAAATACAAATGAGGGCGTTTTAAGTCAATTTACCAGCTAGCCAAATTCCAGTTTTGATGTTTCTCAAGACACAAGAGCCGGTTGTTTGAATCATTATCTCCGCAGTCTCTCTCTGTGGGATTTTGGCGGGAACGCCGAGCTTCTCCGTCAGGAGCGCCACCGGAGAGTCAAAGAAGAAAGCGCCGATTCTCATCCAATCTAACTCATCCACATAGAAGAACAATCTTGTGTTAATAAAAATGATCGAAATTCCTTCCAAATCAAAGATGGAAACCCTACCAATATGCTTCTCAGGCTGACGAAATTGGTAAGAATGACTCCCATCTGCCAGAGATCCAACGGCGAAGAATCAATAACAAACAATAAAATGAGATATACGAAACATGGCAGAATGAAGAGAAAATTTTCATCATTACCGAAAGCAGAACGGTAAAGCTGGTTCCATTTGTAGGCGACATGTTGAGATTCAGGGACTTGGAGATCGCGCAAGCAGACGAACTTCCAGACAGACTCTTCCATGGTGATCCGGTGGAACCACCGGCAAGTAGCTCCGAGCATCACTAGGGATTTTCCGTCCAAGTACTTCATGATCTCTGTCCAGAGATCCGCTTCGTACCTTTCCGCGACCAGTTTCATACATAAGTCACAATATTTGAAAAGTGAAAATAAATTCCATCGTAACGAAATAACGACAGGCATCGATCACGAAAATCACGATTTACAATGTTGATTTCAAATTCACGAATATCACTGGAAAATCTATATTCGCAATTATTGGTGTTTTTATAAAGAGAAGAACAAGACATTCGGAAAAAGAAGCTCTCAGTTCAAATTTGAGAGAGCTACTAGCTATGTTCTGGAGATTCCGATATAGACTTATAGGAAGCTTAGAAAACACTTCGAGATGTAGTTCACTTCGCCTTTGGAGCTCAATTTTAAATTCAGAAGATAACTTTACAAAAGCAAACGGTTGAAAGAAAAGAAGGCAGAACATTAAAGTTTCCGATGTCAATGCTAGTTCGCAGAATATTGATTCTAAACCGAGCTGGAATTTGAGATTTACTAAGAGATTTCTGACGAAAAATTTCTTGATCTAATTAATTACATATATTAGTTATGAAATCGATCGGTAGATGAAACTGCTGAAAACATTTTAGAGAATCAAAATAATAAGAAAATCAAAATGCATCGACTTTGCATACAGCAGCAAAAATTCAAGAAAGCCATTGATATGCTTGTCAACAGAGAGAATTTTCTGTAGAATAACCTCGTTGATTCACAATTGAAGAGAGATTAAAAAAATCAAACGAATGTTTGAACTCTATATCAAAATAATTAGCAGATCACCAATGACTATCCATGAGCGAGGATTTTGGTCGATTCCCCATTGTCCTGGCCTTGAAAGTTGAAACCACCGGAATCACCATCACAATCAATGTCAACGATCGAACGAGAATTCCAGTAATTCCAAAAGATTTTCAAAAATCACTAATAACTCACTCTGAACTGCACCAAAGAGAGATTACCAGGAGAAAACAGAGTGAGGAGCGAGAATGTGCGCTCGCGGAGAAGAGCAACTGCAAATAGTGCTGGTTCTTCTCACTCGTTTTCCCATCTCTTCGTTTCCCCTGAACTGAATTCGGAATTGTGACGCGCAAGAAGGAAAAGTTATTTATAGGCGCGGGAAGTGGGAATTTCAAAACTGGAAGAGAACTTTCGTCCTCACTCGTTTTCCCTGTGCGGCTGTGCTGGTTCTTCTCACTCGTATGTCGTATCCCCATCTCTTCCGGTATGCTACCGGAAGAGAGACTTTCGTCATATGGGCCGGGCCGGGCTAGGTTCAGCACCAATGATAAGGGCTTTTAGCCCGGCCCTACACAGGCCCGGGCCAGGATTATGGGCTTTCCGGGCCTAATGAGAAATGGTTTTCAATAATAAAACTTTAATTATTTAAATCTTTTTAATTAAATAACATGTAATACATGCAAAAAATATGGCACAAGCCCAAGATAAATAGGGCTTGGTTGAACTTTGGGCCTATGCAGAAGAAAAAAGCATGGGCTTCAATTGATTCCTAGAGTTGGTTTGGCTTGGCTTACCATCTTTTTATAGATGAAGAAGGCCTTCATTTCCATTCATGAGTAATATGGGACTTGGAGCAACATTAATAGTGACCACCACCATTAAATTTTTTCCAAGTCCCATATTGTTTAGGCAATGGGAATAATAAAAGCCTTGCCATCATCTATATAAGACCTTGCCTAAGAGGGCAATTCACATACTTGAATTGGTTAAAGTATTCACACGTGTTGGAATGTTTCAATTTATTAGTATATATATAATTCCAATAACATAAAAACTTAAATTTTTAAAATCTACTTGGAAAAAATAGTATTTTCATCTAGGTGGTGGTAAGAAATTAAATCATTTTAGGTTGTAGGTGTGTATAACTTGCTTAGACACTTAAAGAGTACCCAAACATCAAGAATAGCACCACAGAAACAATTACAAGTAGTCCACAGTCAATCCCCACACTGCGATTAACCTACGGTCCATTATAATCATCGCGATTAACCCGCAGCGTGCTGAATAGAACCACGATAAGCCCATGACCCATCAAACTCAGTCAACGCCCAAACCCAAACAAGCCTCAGAAAGACTCACTGCCCACGAACCCATTATGGACAGCGGGTTGAAGAGGACAATGGGTCGAGCCCATAGCGAGACCCGGGTTGAAGAGCACTTTGTGGATCGCCACATGGCATTAACAAATACCGACCTCTGGATGGTGGCATCATCGCCTCCACGTAGGATTAGTCACAGCGCGCAAAAGATAGTAGCACACGTGAGTAATGAGGGATCTCGGGGATAAGGAAAGCTAATCCTCAAGGATATCTTCATGAACCACATGGCGATGCCCGATAGTGTGCCCAATAATTACCAGCGAACAATATATTCTCTTTCTCGATATGGAGCGAAGATCTTCGTCTCCTACCTTTTAGGATCTTGGTATCTTCTCTAAAAACAAAGGGTCCTATTCACGATGGGAATCATCAAGTCCTAAGCATTTCACTACTGATACCCACGAGCCCCTGCAACCCTCACATCTTTGGAGGCACTCCTTCGTCTTTCGAAGAGAGACCACTTCCAATCCAGCCTAACACCTCCCTCCATACAGTAGAATCTCTGGTTAGTTCTTTAATCATGAAGGATGGCCTCAAGAAGAATCAATCTCACTACCATCCCTGAGGAACAGAGCGACGTCCAGGAAAATGCTAATCCTGGAGTTGAGAACCAACCCGAGGTTGAAATACCCATCCAAGCCAACATCGAAATACTAACAAACAAGATATATGGGTTCGAGACTTCCCTTCCGCTTCTCAAAGAACGCTTCAAGAGGATGGAGCAAAGCATGGAGGAGACAAGAAACACCCTCCAATATTGCTTAACCGCTCGACCCAGGCTGAGCAAACACTCACTGCTACCATCCCTGGCATTCCAAATCCTAATCCTAATCCCAATCGACATACTATTGGTACCATACCCACACTCCCGAGAGCATCGACTCGTAGGGAAAGTTAGCCAAGAAATTCCTATCGAAGTGGTTCACGCTAGAAAGAAAGTTGACAAAGGCTGACCTATGGAATGTCGAGCAGGAGCCCGACAAAGACCTTCTAGCCTACGTCTTGAGATTTTAGAAGCTCACCCATTACGTCTTCGACGAGCATGCAATTGAGAAAAGCTTCATTGAACAGTGCGTTCAGGGGATGCGACCTACGTACCGGATTGGCATCGAAAACATCGAAGCGGAAACTTTTAGCCAACTCTGGAAAAGTGCGGAGAGGACGGCGCAAATTGTCAAAGGTACAACCCCATACAAAAGGGAAGAAGCATATGTGATTGATAGGAGGCTGAGGAACAATGGGGTAGCCAGACAAGGGCCATACCAGAGAGGCAACACCCAAGGGAAAAGAGATGCACCAGCACCTCCCCTCTTTCCCTATACTAGGGAAGAGGTAATCATGATTATGAACAAATTAGTAGAAGACAGGGTCATCAATTTGCCGCCACCACCTGAAAGGAGGGAGAGATCCATTGTATGGACGCCAAGATTGTAGCGGAAAAGGGTGGGCGAATTTAAAAAATTTCTCTCCTCCCTTCAAACTGGGAATCATATTCCCTGATTTTAGAATACAATATTCAAGGATCTAATTGAACCAAAACCGGACCAGATCGGAACCAAACAGAAAGGGAAGGGTTATACCTGATACGGAGAATCGGTATCTCCCAACGTCGGTGTTCACACCCAAAGAATACTCCCAAGATCCGTTCCCACTGAAGATGACGCAGTGATACTGGAACAAAACCAGCAGTGTTCGTCCTATGAAACAAATTCTTTACAAGAATTCGATGGAAGCGAAGAGCACCACCGTACATAATCAGCCTTTCAGCAAAGACTGATATCAAGAACACCTTCTTGATCTTTCCCTCTCAGAGAGATCGAACTAGGCAGTGAATGGCAGCTGTGGCTGAAAGAGAACTCTAGAGCTGAAGTTGGCGTATTTGCTTTTCTTCTCTCTAGGGTTTCTAAGATCCAATCTCAATCTGTAGGAGGAGGTTCTTCTTTTCTAAAAACCCTTGGTTTGAATTCTAGTAATTCAAGACTAGGGTTTCTCCTCTTTCTTAGTGATTAAGAAACCTCCTAATCCTATTAGGAGTTATCCTAATCCAAATCTGTATTTGGATAGGGAATTGTCTTAATCCTATCTGCAGATAAGGTCAGCCCACTCCTGATCTCATTAGGAGATTATCAGATTCAAATCTTTATTTGAATCTGAAATTCGCCCCTTTAAGTGGGCAAATAAAACAACCAGTTCAAAATGGGCTTTAGGTCCAATAAGTGTTAAGTGCTCTACAGGCTTCCAAACCGCTGCCCAGTTTGGCTTTTTTGTATGGCGTGGGACCCAAGCATTGATCTACACATCAGCCACATGAGTTCGGCCTAGCCTTTGTTACAAGACCTAGTCGAATTCACTGGAAAGCCCAGTGAACCCCTTGAGCCCATCACATGGACTCAATGGGCCCAACACTTACACTAAGTGGTCCCTTGGCCAAGCCATCTTATAAAAACCTAGGGACTATGGGCAGATGCAAGATTAGCCCATCAGGTGTAACCCTAAATGGCCTTACACTTAACCTCTCAG